GCTAGAATCTCACTCCCTGCCGACCCTGCTGGTGGGGTCCCCTGTTGCCCTTATAGTGGTGCACTGACTAGAGACTTAGCAAAGGACTAGGCTAGCCATGATGACCCTTCCCTAAATGCTGACCTGCCACCACCACCACCACCAGAAGTACCACTAAAGTTTCCCGTTGACCAGGCCTTGTTGCTACCCTCTCGCTCCATTGTATTTTTCAGTTTGTGGTTCTCTGTGGCTTGAGAAAATGGCACCATCTTACCATAGTTCATATCACAATTTAAGGCAATTGTAGCGGCCTCATTAATAACCAAGGGTCTAAGGCCCTGCATAAACCGGTGCACTCTAGCCTCCATAGTGGGCAACATGTAGATGGCATACTTGGACAGGCACGCGAACCTCATATGATACTCCCACACACTCATGCTACCTTGTTTTAGACTCTCAAACTTGGCGGCACAGGATGCCTTGGTCTCAGCATGCAAGAAATGGTCGATGAAGCCGTCAGAAAACTCACTTCACCTCGCCGGAGGGCTCCCCTCCTCACGAGACTCCTCCCATATCTCGAACTAAGAATAGGCCACCTCTTTCAGGCGGTAGGAGGCCAACTCCACTCCCTCCGACTCAGTAGCACACATAACTTGGAGAGTCTTGTGCATCTCATCAATGAAGTCCTAGGGGGTCCTCTTCAGGATCTGTACTTGTGAACACTGGAGGATCTAACTGAAGAAACCTGTTCACCCTGGAACTAGTAGAATCCCCCGGCTGGCTGGAAGAAGCAGGTGCAGCATTCGACCTCTGGGCTTGTGTAGTATCAGCTCTATCGCACGATCTAAAACATCAAAGAAAGATATTATTCCTAAATGCCCAAGTAGCCTCCTAATTATAGATATGGTTGACAACACATCGATAAGAAAGACTTTACTATACACGGCTTCGAGAAATCCTAGGACACTTTAAAACCTTAGGCTCTGATACCAAGCTTGTCATGCCCCGACCTCGGGGAGCGCGACCGGCGCTAAACCGAGATAACCCGACCAAGCAAGCCTAAACAATGCCTTCTATCCGAACACACCCATGAATAAAGAGAAGATACATTTAATTAGTTAGACAATGAGGAGGATCATGTAAACAACATCAATTCATTTTCATCACTCACATCATTTTTAAGTCTCAAAATACAAACATTTTCATGGTTTGAAGTGGAACATTTGGTACAAATACAACATCACTAGTTTGACCTTCCCAATACCAACATACTACCCATACTATATCTACAGAGCCTCTAATACATACAAAGGAGTACAATGATAGTGCCGGTAACAAAGTCCCGGCTATACATCAAAACTAAATGCATAAGGAGCAAAAGATAAAAGACCCTGAAATGAAGTGGGGCTCACCAAATCAGCTAGGAAGATGATGCACCGCTATCACTAATCAAAGCCACCTACTGTGGAACTACCTGCATCTATTAAAGACGCAGCGCCCCCGGAAAAAGGGGATTTAATACATGTCAAATAGTTCTAGTATGAAAACCAAACACCCCCTTCAAGAATTAGAAAGTGCAACGTGAATGTGACGAATCATGGAAGCAATAAAAGAGCTTAAACAGCCATTAAAATCCATAGAAAATTAATTTAAATCTTTCAATAACATTTATAAATTTCAAGTTGGGAATCCTCTATATGACCTCTACCACAATGCCATAATCTCTATACAAAGCGGCCCTTCCGCCTCACCCCAATACGTGCGGGTGGAGGTGTAATCACATTACCACAATCTCAACACAAAGCGACCCTGCCGCCTCACCCCAATGTGTGCGGGTGGAGGTGTATTCACAATCATAATCTCTACACAAAGCGGTACCGCCGCCTCACACCAATGTATGCGGGTGGAGGTGTATTCACAATGCCACACTTCGGATTAAAATGATAATAGTTTGCACAAAAGATTTCTTTTCAAATCAACCATTTGGCACCTTTGGCCTTAACAATTATAAGTTCATAAGATTTCATCATATGAGAAATAAGAATTTGATCACATTGATTTTGTACAAACTTTTTTTCCCAAAAGGGGTATAACATAATTAAGTCAAAATAGAAAATTATTAACACACGAGGGTTTGGACACATTATTCAATTTGAGAACCAATTTACTAGCTTGAATATCGCATCTCAATAGTGTTTCAAGTTCGAACTACACACGATGGAGTCTTGTAAGAATACGGGAATCCCGATACTAGAAGAAGAGTTTAGCCTTCATACTTCGAAAGAGCCTTCTGTGATGTAACAATAACGTCCCGATACTCCTATCGATGCCAATCTATAGAAGAGGGGAGAATTACAAGAACGATTAGAGGTATTCGTATGGCAAGAGTTGCTACAATGACAACCCAACCTTTTCTCAACCAATTCAACAACAAAACTACCCAAGATTGTCCAACAACTTCCCCACAATCCCTATTAGCTCATGCTTGTGATATGTCTACTCTCATCACCCATAATCAACGCAAAATTCGAAATTAGAGAATTGGGGGAAGAAATTCTTACCTTTTAAAACCCCTAGCAAGTTCCTTTTGATGAAATTCCAAGGCTTAATCCAAGTTGAGTAGTGAAATCCTTGAGTCCTCCCCTTTCTCTCTCTAAAATAACTCTCTCCTCTCTCTAAAATACTAGATAACCCCTCAAAAATGACCCATATGGCTAAATAAAAGGAAATGGGGTCGGTTATAAAATTAAAAAAATAAAGCCTCGATGCAGATCTACGGTCGCATATGCAACCGCATAACACTTCTGCGGTCAGCAAAATGGACCGCATAATGGTCCTCCGGAATTGGACACTTCTGTGCAAGTATGCGACAGGTCTGCATTCCGCAGATCAATTTTGCAGTCACATAATGGACCGCAGAATCTCCTTCCGAAATTTCTCATGCTGGTTCTGTGACAGATGTGCGGCCCGCGAAACAATTATACGGTCGCATAATTGACCGCAAAATAACTTCCAAAATTTTGCCCATTTCTCTGCTTCGCTCTGTGGCAGATCTGCGGTCCGCAGATCAGTTCTACGGTCGCATAATAGACCGCAGAAATGCCCTGTTCTGAAATAATTTTTCTTCAACCCAAAAGTCCATACAGCTGCGAGCAAGCTCGCCGTGAAGAATTTCTACAACTCTCAAATACATTAGCCTACCTCGGCACCACGAAATCCCGAATTTTAGGTGAAATTCTTACGGGGCCTTACATCCTCCCCCGCTTACGATCATTCGTCCTCGAATGAGGGTCAAAATCCACCATTAGCATCTAATGTGAGTCAATTGTTATTTCACACACCGGTAGTTCCAAATTTTTGACTAACTTCCTGAATTTCCAATAATTTTGCCAGAGTCTCTCCTGTAATTAGGCTTATCCACCTGCCTGAGAATCCCAAAACCAGTCCTACAGCATAACCATAGCGTAATGATGTAACACAATCATGGAAACAACAATGACCACAACGTCATAATCATTATATTACCAAAAGAAACATCCTTAATAGTAACTGTACAAGTGAAACATAATTCATAGATGGTAAACTCTTAACATTTTCATAGAACACCTCTACCTAAATACATAATTATTCAAATAAATAAGGGTACTTCTTCTTCATCTCTTCCTCAGCCTCACAGGTGGCCACCTAAACCTGTTGGTTTTGCCATAGCACTTTCACGAAGGCAATCTCTTTGTTTCTCAGCTTTCAGACTTGCCTGTCAATAATTGCAACTGGATTCTCTTCATAAGTCAATTCCTCATTAACCTCAATAGTCTCAACCGGAATAATAAGCGATAGATCTCCAACCACCTTTTTCAACATGGATACATGAAAAACCGGGTGCACTAAAGACATCTCTGGAGGTAGTTTTAGCCTGTAAGCCACCCGACCAATCCTCTGAATTTAAACAACTCTCAAATACATTAACTTACCTTGGCACCATGAAATCTTGGGTTTTAGGTGAAATTCTTACAGGGCTTTACACAATCAATCATGCCAAGATATCCCTTCACAAACATTGGACACTCAAGAAAATACTGTTAATCTAATGGATAGTGGGAAGGATGTGTCAAAGGGAATTGCTGGTAGTGTGACTAATGAACAAGGAGGAGCATATGTGTAACAAATTGATAGGGCCAATCAGTTGAACAAAGAAAGGAATATTACTAGTAGAAGTCCACTTATGGGAAGATTATGGAGTCAGTAGGTAGAAGATGAATCTGAAAAGGATGGAGAATTACAGTTAGATGATGAGCTACAGAAGGAAGTTGAGGATAGTCAGTTTGATGGCCATGAATCTGAGGACGGAGTTCACTTTATAGAGCAAGAAGATGAAGATCAAGAAATGGTGCAATCAAATGCTAATGGAAATAAGCATGATGAAGTTACAAAGATAAAAGAGCTGACCTGAACTTATGCCTAAACCCCCTGATATCCAAAACATATGTCATAAACCAGTCGCTACTGATGTAAACCTTAAGCCTAATGATCAAACCCTAACCCTAATCCTAACCCCAATCCTATATCTAGCACACAATGCATAAAATTAGAGGGAAGTAAGCAGTCAGCTTCCAAGACTCAGAATGTGGCTAAGGATTCTACTAGTAGGGTTGTAGTACCTAATCCAGTGAAAACTCAACTGGCCAAACAGTCACCTGCAGCAGATGATGTAGAGAATGCAGAAGGAAAGGGAAGGGACATGGATGAGGAGTCTACTCATAACTTTAGGAATGTTGCTCGACAGGGTGACTTATCTCCTAGGCATATGGATAAAGCAAAATCTATAGGTAGAAGTAGAAAGAAGCAGCAGAAAGAAACATCTATTGTTCCTGGTACAGGAGTAAAAACAAGAAGGACACTCTCTAAATCTAACAATTAGAGATGAATGCTTTGATTAGAACATTAGATCAGTGAACACAAAGAAAGCCTTTGAAAGGCTAATTACAATGCATAGACAACACCACTTTAGATTTGTGGGATTAATGGAGCCGATGCAGCAATCTAGAGAGCTGGAGAGATACAGAAGAAGGATAGGATTTTCTCAGGCTTTTGTAAATATTTCTAACAAGGTTTGGGCTTTTGTGGATGAAGATTATGAAGTCACAGTACTACTTGATATGGAGCATCAAATGACCTTAAGGTTGGTGGATTCTAATACTCAGCATGAGTTAATTCTTACTCTAGTTTATGCCAAATGTGATGCTATTTAAAGGATAGAATTGTGGGACACTTTATATACTTTGGCTTCTGATATGTCAACTCCATGGATAGTTGGGGGTGATTTCAATGTAATATGGGATGAGGAGGAAAAATTTGGAGGCTTACCAGTACCTCTGAATGAATTGATGATTTTAGGTACTATGTAACTACTTGTAAGTTGCATGATCTTGGCTTCAAGGGTAGTATCTTCACTTGGTGGAATGGAAGGGCTAAAGAAGATTGCATTTTTAAGAGACTTGATAGAGTTTTGGCAAACATGGAATTTCAACAATTGTTTCCAGGTGTGGAGATCACTCACTTGTCAAAAATTGGATCGGATCATAGTCCTTCTTTAATCACTTTTGATCCAAATTTTGTTCTTGGTAAGAAGCAGTTCAGATTCCTCAACTTTTGGACAGACCATGCTACATTTCAAGAGGTTGTAAAGGAAAACCGGAAGGTGGATTTCAGTGCTAATCCAATTATTCTCTTCAATCACAAATTGAAGAAGTTGAAGAGAGCATTATGAGTGTGGAGTAAAGCTATATATGGGGATATTTTTTAAAAGATTTCTAGCTTAGAAGAGGTGGTACTGGTACCTGAAGCCAGTTTTGAAATTAATCCAACAAAGCTCAATAGGGAGAGGCTTCACAAGGTACAGGCTGAGCTGATCAGGTACAAATCTCTCGAGGAGGAATTCTAGAAACAAAAGTCTAACATGCTGTGGTTTAAGGATGGTGATCGCAATACAAAACTTTTTCATGCTCAAGTAAATGGAAGGAGGAGAAGATTGCAACTGAAGAGAATTTAGAACAGTGAAGGTAGCTGGATCAAGGGTAATGAACAACTGGCAGCAGAAGCAGTAAACTTTTACCAAGCTCAATTCCACGAGGATGCTATCCCTACTGCTTTTGGAATCATTAACCATGTACCTAACATGGTAACTGTTGAGCAGAATCAAGATTTTATGAAGCAACCTACAAAATATGAAGTCAAGAAGGCTATGTTTAGATTAAATGGTGTTAGTGCTAGAGGGCCAGATGGATTTACAGGGAAATGTTTCCATTGCTGCTGGGATATAATAGGGTATGATGTTTATAATATGGTGAGACAGTACTTCAATGGTGATGACTTACCAAATTTGTTACTCACATAAATCTTGTGTTATTGCCTAAGAAGAAGGAAGTTACTACATTCTCAGATATGAGGCCTATAAACCTTTGTAATTTTATCAACAAGGTATTCTCAAGGGTGATTGATGAAAGACTTGCTCCTCTTCTACTTAATCTAATCTCGGATGAACAAGCAGGTTTTATTAAGGGAAGGAGTATAGTCAAAAATATATTGTTGACTCAAGAAACATTACAGACATTAGGTTGAGAACAAGGGCATGATCTAATGTAGTGATGAAATTGGACATGACAAAAGCTTATAATAGGCTTTCATGGTGATTTATGACTAAAGTGTTGAGAAAGATGGGTTTCTGTGAGAGGTTTATTGGTGTAGCGTTTGGCATTATGTCAAATAATTGGTACTCTATGTTGATTAATGGCCAGCCTTATGGATTTTTTAAATCCATTAGAGGAGTCAAGCAAGGGGATCCATTGTCACCTACATTATTCATATTAGATGCTGAAGCTTTGTCCAGAGGTTTGAATGCTCTACATCTAAACTTATACTTTTGTGGATTTGGTTTGCCAAAATGGAGTCCAAAGATTAATCATCTAGCTTATACTGATGATACTATTATTTTCTCATCATCCGATGCCACTTCATTACAACTAATTATGGAGGTTTTGAGTGCGTATGAGGTGGCCTCACGGTAGTTAATTAGTAAGGAAAAATCAGCAATCTACATGCATCACTCTACAAGCTTTGAAGTAGTGAACAAGGTGCAAAGGATTACTGGAATAGGCAAGCAGGAGTTTCCTTTCACTTATCTAGGATGTCCAATATTCTATGCAAGGAGGAGGATGGATTTCTATCAGGGGCTTATTAATAAGATACTGGACAAACTTCAATCATGGAAAGGTAACCTTCTATCCATTGGTGGCCGGGTAGTTTTGATCTCTCATGTGCTTCAAAGTATGCCAATTCATCTACTGTCAGATGTGAATCCCCCCTATTTTGTTATTGAGAAACTTCATAAAAAGTTTGGTCGATTTTTCTAGAGTAATTCTGTGGGAGGAAAAGCTAAGCATTGGGCATCTTGGGACATATTATGTCTACCACAAGAGGAAGGAGGATTAGGATTTAGATCCCTACATGATGTCTCAAAGGCTTTATTTTGTAAACTATGGTAGAACTTTAGGACAAAGCCTACTTTGTGGAGTTCATTCATGAGTCAAAAATATTATTAAAAGTTAAATGCAATGGTGGTTCCTTGGAGATATGGATGTCATGTTTGGAGGAAAATGCTTGAATGTAGAGATGAGATTGAACATAAGGTAGTTTGGCAACCAAGAATGGGTTCTTCACTATTTTGGTTAGATAACTGGACATGATTGGGAGCTTTGTACTTTGTTACTCCCCCAGATTTGTATTGTGATGAATTTGTGCACAATGTATATGATGTTATCTTAGATGGCTCGTGGGATGAGGAAAGGCTATTGGAGATTCTTCCAGAAGAACTGTCACAATATGTTATTGAAAACATCAATCCTCCTTTGTTACATCATGACCTTGATAGACCATACTGGACCTTGGAGCCTAAGGGCAGCTTCTCTCTTAAGTCTGCCTGCGAGTATACTCGAAGAAGAAAAGATCCTAGTGTTGTATATAAACATATATGGGTGAGAGGACTAACTTTCAAGATTGCATTCTTCATGTGGAAGGTTTGGAAAGGCAAGCTGCCTTTTAATGATTATTTTAGAAGGCGGGGTTACTTTATGCCATCTAAATGTTGGTGTTGTGTCAATCCATTAGAGGAAACAATGTCACACGTACTATTCAAACCATACGCAGCTCAGAAAGTGTGGCATTATTTTCTTTCAAATGTAGGCATCAACATGGAGGGGTTGTCTTTGCATCAGGCGGTGCTAAAATGTTGGTCATTCCAAGTGGTTCCCAAGCTAAAACCTATTTTCCATGCTTTACCTTTCATCATTGTATGGGAATTCTGGAAACGAGGGAACAGTTATAAGCATGGGGATGCAGTAATTGTTAGTAGGGTGATATACCAAATTTCATCTACACTTCAAGAGCTGGTGAGGCTAAGGAAACAAAACTTGTTGAATGTCCCTCATAAGTGGCCAGACTTAGTAAACTTAGTGGAGAATTACACACCAATGTTAAAGGTGACCAAGGTCCTTTGGGAATTACCTGACCATGGCTGGGTGAAAATCAACGCAGATGGCATCTAGGGAAAATCTAGGTAGGAGCTTGATTGGTTTTGTATTGCGAGATGAGGAAGGTGATGTCAAGTATGCAAGGGGAAAGGAAATACAGGAGACTACTAATTCTGAAGCTGAAGCAGCTGCTATACTTGAGGCTTTGAGATACTGTGTGTATCATTGATACACAAATATACTAGTGCAAAACAGATTCGATGTTGATGAAGAATATGATAGAGGTATCGTGGGATGCACCTTGGGCAGTGAATACATATTTGGAGGAAATAAAGGAGCTTATAGTAAGAAGCAATAACAGATTTTCACACATAATGAGAGAGGGCAATAAACTAGCTGATTATCTAGCTAACTATGCTCTTGATAATGGATACTTTGAAGCACAATCCTTTGATCAACTGGAACCACAAGGAAGAACGATAGTTAATAATGACAAGTGGTTATGTCTATATTTGCGAGTAAGGGTCAGGAGTTAGATGCGATGGAAGTAACCACTGGGCAATTTTCTGCACTGCCCAATGTTGTTATGCACTTGATCAATGGTAAGGGTAGCAGTTGCTGGATACAAATAGGGTGTAACCAATACATCCTTGGTTTGTTTTGTAAATCTGAAGCATGTATGGATAACACCAGGCAGCTCACATGAAGAGGAATCACCCGCATGAAGCACATAATGAACATTTGTGTCAAACTTTGACACTGCCTATTGTTGCTAAATGCGAGCAATTTGAACTTACAAGAAAAGAAATTCCAGCTACTTTTGCACTCATAGACATTGAATTATAGTGTATTTGCTGGGATATTGTTTACCCAAAAAACGGATAGAATTGAATTTATGCGTAGTTATAAGAATACGTGGTATAACTTGATACGAATTGAAAAGATAAGTAAAAATATATCGAATATTAACTGTAAAAAGGAATAAATACCAAACTAATTTGAGTAAAGAATGGTTGATAAATGAACAATATGAATCAATGTCCAGAGCCCAAAAAGGGATAATATTTGCTATATGTATGTAAATCTCAATAATCTCTGGATGTGAGGGTGTCTCCATGTGTCCCCTCTTACAAATGATAACCACTCTTAATATAGTGGAAGAATCCCATTTTGGGTACAATTAAAAACATATAGTGGGAATCCCATGATGGGCTTAATTAATTAACTTTTTTTGATTTCTGCCGAGATTTTCTCCCCAAATATAATGGCTTTTTTGTCCCTTGGCTCGATCTCGTTCTCGGCCGGTCTCGGTATGGCTCGGTCTTTAGGTCTCGAGCACGATATTAATCGGTTTCTGGGTCTCGGGCTCAATATTGACTCGAGCTCGGTATTGATCGGTGTGTGGGTCTCGAGCTCGATATTATGATGACAAACCTCGGTCCATCATGCTTTAATTTTGATTAATCACACGAAGGGAAAACTCGGTTTTGACCGTATACAGATAGTCTCCTCGTTTCTCGGAAAGAAGGTGGCGAGAAACGATATGATTTTTCAACCTCCGACTAGACGAATGCTGATGTCTGCGACAAGCCCAATTGTGACGTATGTGACAGATGTCCCATCGGTCCAGTTACCAAGGTATTAAATGTGCCTCAGTCGATGGTCGACCACTGCATCAGAGACCGTCATTGTGAAATCTATAAATAGCCCCTTTCTTCACTATTTTAATTTTTTACCTTTAAACGTTCTTCATTCCAATCTTCACAGTCCATCGCCTTCTCCAAAGTTTCCTATTTCCAGGATTTGGAATTTCTTTGCTTGTTCTTCTCAAAACACCAATTACTTCAATCTCCCTTTTTCCTTGTTCACGAAAATTTAGATGACCAAAACATCTAAAATTGTTCCGCAAAAAGAGGTCGCTTCTTCATCACGACCTGCCGGCGGTGAGGATGCGGTGGAGCCTCGCCCTAAGGAATTCGTTCCAGTAAGGTGTTCAACTGTCAGTGATTTTAAGGTTGAAAAACCTTCATCGGTACCGGGCCGATGTGAGCAGATGTCGAGGTACCAGTGTACAATCACCGATAAAATTCTCGAGAAAGTCAAACAAGAATGCAATTGGGTTGATAAGCACATGGTAGTCTCATCGCCTGATGATTCAATTACTACCCACATGGAAGGGTTCTTAAGTGTTTATACTTATCCTTTCACATTGGGTCAGTTAGACCCTTTCATCGTCACCCTTTTGCAAGAGATACGACGTGACCCTCGGCCAAATCCATCCTTCTTTTTGGAGAATAGTTATTCTTCTACGATTTTTCTCGAGCAAAATTGAGGGGTGTCTTTTCACCCTCGACCACCTTATGCGCCTTTATAGCCCCCAACTTTATCGAGGAGGGTTAATCAAGCTTGCTTGCCGAGCCACCAAAGCACCGTTCTTGAGTATAAACGAGACCCGTGACCGAGGTTGGATGGACCGATTTGTTCGTGTCAACAACTCGAATTTGATCCCTGTCAATGACATGCCATTTCCTGAGAAATGGAATATGAACTATGAGCACTTATTTCCCTTGGTTCGTTTCAATTTTGGAACTGCCTTCCATTTTCTTGATCCATTTATTCTTTCTTGTCACAGCTATGGCTCGGATGCCTTAGCTGATTTCGGACCTTAAACAATGGGTTGGAGGTCTAGTGATGCAGAGAACGCACCCCGAGCGCGCTTGGGTGGAATTATCAAAGGTTCGATGGGAGGCCCGTAGTCATGGTAAGTCTCTTTCTTAATTTGTTCGTCATTTGCTCTTCTTTACTTGCTTAACCCCCCTTTTTCCCTTTGTAGGACTTGGGAAGGATGTTGCCATGAGGCACTCACCTG